AAAAAAAAAAAAAAAAAAAAAAAAAAAAAAAACAAAGAGAAGAATCAAAAAAAGAATAAGAAAAATGACGAATCATTATACCAACCATCTGGTGATAAAGTTTTACATGCTGTTATCGCTGTTGTTCCTGCTCCAACTTTTGTATCATTATGACGAATTAAATTATAACTTCGACGGTCTTGCTTCAATCGCCCAAACGGTGATCGGTAGCTTCGTAAAGAACGACGAATTGATGCAAATCCAAATAATGGCATTGCTTCTGCTCCCCCAAATATTTTACTTTTAACGATTAACAGAACGACTTTACACTCACTCTCTTTGTTTTTCGGGCAATATTCAATCAGTAAACTAGTGTTTGATAAATAACAGCCAATAAAGTAGTGAGGAGGCAATAAAAACTGTCAGAGAGTATCAGTATTAACGAGTAGGCCTATTTGTCGCCGCATCAGGTGCAGCAACTCTTATCCATCTAGCAATTAATTATCCAGAAGAACAACGAAGAGGCGATCCATCCACCGCTTACCATTCCCAAACACCAAGTTGCTGATGCCATAAATATTAAAAACTTGCAAAAAAATTTTTTTTCCATATCAGACGTTACTACTGTTTTTAGGGTGTAGTTTAAAAAGCGTTTTCTTAAAAATGACGCAAATAAACACCACAAAAGTTCGGCAGTAAATCTTCTAAATTGTCAGAAAATTTTGCAATGATTCAAGTGCCACTACCAATGAAAAAAATGAAAATAAAATAAAGCAACAAATTTGAAAAATGTCCCCTTCTCCCCCCTCCAAAAAAAAAAAAAAATCAACTACAATAATGAAGATGAATCTGTTAAGTTGTAAACACACGATAACGAAAGAAAATATAAAAAATAGCAAATAGGTTTATTTTTCTTCTCGCTTCGTTCCGACAATTTCTTCAAGTTTTATCGTTCTGAGTATTGCAACCGTTTGTCGGGCCTTCTTGCCCAAATTCTTTACTCTTCAATCAACAACATCACTTGTCACCTTTCTTGCCATCACTGTGGTTGCTGTTGTCGACAAACGAAACACTCCAAGACACAGTTTATTTGCCTTCTTAGAACCAAATATATTTTACCGCTCCCGTATCGTCAAAGTATTACATTTTCTGGATGACTCTTTTCTTCCACGCCATTAATTCTTGATTGTCTTTTCCTCTGAACCAAGATGAAAATAAATCCATATTCATGTGCAGAAAAATATAATTGACATCTCCGCGCTTCAATCATCCAGTGACAAATATAATGCAGAGCCCAACAGGAAGACAGTCCGCTGACCAGCAGTGACTTTTTTCAAGCGAACATAGTAAATGTTGTAGACTCCAACAAAAGCTGAACAAATATCATTTTGAAGCCGACAAAGCAGGTAGTAAGTAGCAGATGTAACTAATGATACGAATAAACCTTGCGATAGCTTTAACAAATGTGACTTTAAAGTCAAGTGGTAAACTCCGCTGCCCAGAATTCAAAAAATTAAAAACATACTATTGTTCGTTCATTACTTTCCTATTCATATGAAAATTGAAGAATAAAGCGTTTAAAACAGCCTGAACTTCTACTGGCGTCACCACGTACAAATCAAACAAACTTCAGTGTTCTCAGACGATGTGAATTCAAGAACCAACCATCCTTTT